GGTTCATCACCCCTCAAATGGAATTATGATAGGGACCTGAAGAAGAACTAAGGTATCGATGGATGCAGTTCCATGGCAAAGAGGAGGCTGGAAGTAACTACCTTCCTTGCTAAGCTAGTTAGATGCTTATGACCCGCAGACCAGAACATCAGCATCACCGGTGCCTAGGATCTTTGGGGCGGGCGTGGTAGTGCAGCGAGAGCAGACCCTGAAGACTCTGCACTGTAGGACTTTTGATTCCCTGCATCAGTGGAACGATCTGAAAAGTCCAGGTCACTGAGTTTGACGAGTCGCACTTCGAAGCTGAGGGCCTCTTTGCGCAGAACTCATCACAGGGCAACAAAGAGTCACTGCCTCAGCAGATCTGGAGTCTAGTGACGCCCGATGTGCCAAGAACAAGTTTGGGGGAGTGCTTCCTTGACACGTGTTAAACAGGTGTCGTGCCAGCTCTCGTAAGACTGCATGCGCGGACGGGGCCCAGCAGACACTGCGTTTCTTGAGCTGCGCCAATGCACTTGAGACGCGAAGCAGGGTGACTAAGAGCGCTACTGGCACTTGTGCGCCACCGTTGTGGTGCCACAGCACGGAATCTTCTGGACGAACTTGAAGCTGGTGCGATTGCCATGTAATGGAATGGGAAGAATTAGCAGTAGCATGTTCACCTGAGGAGGAAGAATCCCAAAATTGTCGTTTGTATGGCTTGGTTCTGAAGTGGGGCTTTTGCGAGGCATGCCAACACTTGCTTGGTAAGCATCTCCTGGCTAGGGCCTGTCCATGCCATACATCTTTTTTGGACTCAAGCACCGCAAGTTGAAAGCTTCGGATTCTGGGTGGGCTCCGAAGAGCCAAGTCTTCAACAAGTTTGCACTTACCGATGTGATAGTATATGTCTAATTAGTAGGGAAAGCATGCGAAAAAAATGCATGTCTTGACATTTGTTTAACCCCCCTCCCTATGCTTTACATACACTTCATCTTTATCCCTATGTCTAGTGTAAGGCGTGCACAAAGGTATCAAGACCGACTCCGTGCGATCCACCTCCGCAAGGAAGGCCACAGGGCGTCTTCAAGTTTCAAGTACATGGGCATGTTCCGGCTTGAAAGGTTGCCACAAACCGTCCTAGAAATGTTGGGATGGATTCATGTGCCCCTTATTGTTATGCGGTTGTACATGCTTGGGTTTTCTAGCAGCAAGAGAGCAGTCCCAAGGCCTTGAGAAGACTGCGATCGCAAAGGCTCTAGGCCGATCTGTGCCACGGGAGCTGATTGGATTTTTTGACTTGTCAGTAAGTCTGGGTAAGCACAAAACTTTGGCCAAATAACTATGACATGTATTTAAACAGTTTATGTGTGTATGTCTATGTTAAACACTGCAAAAACTTGCCTTGCAACCAGGGTTCCGAAGTTGGGCGTTCAGGGTTTCGGTTTGCTGGCTGATCAGCCGGATGTGTCAGTCCTCTCCATGGCAGATAGAAGGCGAGCAATCGACAATCCTTCAAAGCTGCGCAGTTTTTTGTGGCATTCGACACGCCCATTTAACCCACTATAGTGGTTTCCATTTTCTTTTCCATTATCCCAATATAACCCCAATATATACCCTAATATACTATAGTAGTTTCCATGCAGAATCTGGCCACTGCATTTGGCTCCTGAGGAAATTTGTTGCCAAGTGGTGGCAGAAGGAACCCAAGGAGATACCGCGCCCCTGGGGAGTGCACGAGTACTTGACGAAGGTACCCTGGCACAGAGGTGGCTTCAGCTAAGACAGGGTGATAACCAGAACAAGGCTTGTGGAACAGTAACAAGGTTCCTGGAACATGGATGGTTATACACCTGCCTGAGGATTCAGCTGGACATGCCATGGGGCTGGGCGGGCAAAGGGGGTTTCCAGCATCCTGCGAAGTGCTGCAACCAACTCGAACGTGCAAAAGGGATTGGTATGTACAGCCCCAAAAGCGCATCACCCGCGGACATGAAAGGAAGTGTCATGAAAACCCGTGAACCACGCCGTACTGCAGAGCAGATGAACTTAAAGACGGCTGCCATCATGCAAAGTCAACTCATTTCACGCAGGGCACGTAGATACATGCAAAACATGAAAGCCAACAGAGCAAAGCCATGTCCTACGGCAAAGCATAGGATCAATGACAAGGCCTTTTGTTTCAGGGCTGTTTAGGCCTCGCTGTTTTTTTTTTTAGTTGGTAGCTCGTATCACCGTAACCTTGTTCATAACCTTAGGAGGTCTCCCAGCAAGCTTCACAGCGCACGTGAACTCAACAGAACGGCAAGGAGATGTGCACAAGCCCATCCCATCAATCTCAGAAGAAACTTTGCTAGGAGATGGGTCGCAACGAGCGCGGCGTGGGCGCAACAAATGGTGCATCCATGACCGAGGAAACTTGTTTGCCTATCAGCTGCCTGTGTTAGATTCTCCTGCATATTGTCTTCTTCTAGCGTAGCCGCGGCTTGCGGAGATGACAAGTGGATTCCCAGGAGTCAGTGCACGACACCGCCACGTGGTGGCGGGATGCACCTGGGACATCAGTACATTGTAGCTCTTCGTCAACCACGGGCCTTTCTTTCTGCTCTTCTTTCTACGTAACCATACAGCAATTTCCAGGCCAACTTTCGTCATGTGGCCAAACCGTGGCACACAGAAGCACACTTTAATGTGGTAAGAAGCTTCTGCACCTTGTCGCTGCGCATCCAGACACTGTTTCTACATGCCAATTTGATCCTGTGGAAGCGGTGAGAGAGGCACTTGTACATGCTGTAGCGACCAAGGTGGAGGTAAAGCGAGGGTTCGCGAGCGATCCAGCCATCTACGTTGCTTGGGCTGTGTTTGGCAGGGAGATGGGCATGGAGCGAACTGCCACAAAGGACTTCCATGACTGTCGTGGGGTGCAGAATGCGGAACTCGTGGTCCATGATTCACAGCAGCTATGCGCTGAGGATGAGATTCTGCAAAACACGGACTGGAAAGCCAGCAATGCCCGCACGAGGGACTTTGCCACAGGTGCCTACCATCTGCACCGTGGCTGCACGAAGCAGAATGGGCCGGGTGGTGATGGCAGCTGCTTTTGGAAAGTCACAGCACTGAGTGCAGATTCCAGTCGCGTCCGACATAGCGTTCAGTAACACCGCCCAGGAAGTACGACCAGCGGGGCAACATTCGCTGGGAAGGGCACCAAGGACAGCACAAAGTCATCATGGCAGCTCACAGCATATCAGCTAAGTCCTCTAAAGCATCAGATATCTGACTCAAAGCCACGGGCAGGACTGAAGCGTACTGTAGTTGCCTGACCAGATGCACGCACGGGCTAATTCATGAATCTATAGGACCCTAAGCTTAGCCATATAGGTTTGCAAGCGAAGCCATTTGAGTTCCTGATGCCATTTCGCACTCTGCTTGTTGCCAGGGCGAAGTGCTCATTGATCACAGTCGGACCCTACCCCAGCCCTGCAGGCTGCCGTAATGGCTGCCTGCTCAAATCAGCCAGGAGGCAAGTACAAGCCGGGCCTCTCACCTGCGATGGACAAAGTGCTTCAGAAGCTTTTCGTGGAGTATGGCATCGAGGAAGGGCGGGTGGGACGGGGCGGGGGAGGTCGAGGTGGTACGCTGCAGAACTGATCAGAGCTGATACTTAGCTAAACCTGTGCAAACTTTCGAGGATCGAACGTCTGGCGTGATCACCAACTGGTATCCAGATGGTCAAGGCGAGCTTGCAACTGGTGTGATGATATGTCATGGATATGGGGGACTTGTAGTTTGGAATCTGGATGCATGTGTACAATCTGGATGTTGTTGTTACAGTAATACATTCGAAGCTGCCAAGGAGCTTTTGAAGCCCGCCCCAGGCAACCTCGGAAGTCATCGGCATGACTGCTGGACAGCACTTTTCAGCAGCTTGGCCACCGTAATAGATTGCGACCTTTTCATCCTTTCTCCTTCAGAACCTTAGAGTTCAGCTGTTACATTTTGGCTTCGGGAATCATGTTCTTCTTTGGGGCCCCCATTACAGTTTCGGAGCCCAAGAAAAAGGCACGAACATGTGAGACAACCTGACTCTTCCGCAAGGAGGTGGAGAGGCCTCAGTAGATTGAGAGCATGGCTAATCTGTGTAGATACATAGAAGAACGTGTAGGGATGGGAGAGGGAAGGGAGATTGAAGGCTTTGGGCACGAGCGCATCCTTACGATTGACAACACGCCTTTGTTGCTGGGCAGCAGAAAGCTTGCAGTGCATACTTCAGGCATCACAGCGTGCGTTGGTGAAATGAAGCAAGCTTTATGTTGACAACGTGCCTTGCCTCCCTGCAGAGGCTCATGCAGAATGGAGACTTGTGCATTTTCGGGACGCAAAGGCCGAAGATATTTGGCTTTGCTTTGGCGGACATTTTCATCTCCCTGTCACGGGCGTGGTATTTGCGCTCTCAGAACGCATAGTGTAATGACTATGGTCACGACGCGTTTTATGCCGCCGTACTGCTCAAGTCTTGGCCTAAGATTCCCAACTATGATTGGACAAGGCTGCATATCCACCCTTGTATGCACGAGCCCTCCTGGTACGACTGGTAATTCAGTCACTGCCAACTGAAATGAGCTGAACTGGCACATGATGCTTGGCATGGCCTTGCCAGACATTGTTAGCACGTAGGAAAATTGCCTCCTCATTGCATTGCTGCTATCATGATGCAGCTGAGAATAGTGCGACAAGCACCTGCACGTGTTGCAGGCACGGGGTGCCGATCATGCCTGAGATAACGGAGGGCCGCATCACACTTGTCGTGCCCCTAGACTGCATCTATCGAGTCCGGCCAAATCGGCAGAGTTTCCAAGAAACATCCTGTTGAACGCGGATCCAAGCGCTTGTTTTCGAAACGCTACCTGCCATGCCTGGCAGTATCAGAGGTTTTTCTATCCCGACAAGATGCAGAAGAAAGGCATGTGGCAGACAATCACTGATCCAGACGCTTGGCTCGAGCCGGGCTGTAAGCAAGCACGATGCCCGAATGAGATCATATCAAACAGCTAGCGTTTTGTCCGAAAGTACTGCTGTACAATGCCACGTGGGGAGCTTGCTGTCGCAATCAGACCAGGGCCACGGTACACTCCTATCATGTGTCGTTTATGGGTTAACCGGGCAAAGTTATTACCTGCATTACCTCAGGAAACCATGGAGTCCAGCCGGCCCCTGGGCAAGATGCTGAACAACCACCATCTCAGCCGCTGAGCCTGAACTTGAGCTTCAATTTCTTCCTTTTCACAGGTGCCATCTGCAAGGTTCCAACTACATGTGTATGATGCCACAACCAGTGCAGCAGCTGCAATGCAGGGAAGGGGGATACTGGCACCAGAGCGAGGTCTGTCAGCAGCGTAAGGTTCGAGAACATGGTCAAAGTTTGCAACAGTATTCATGTGACATGCTCAAGTGCATTTTTCCGTGAGGTTGATCGTAAATTACTTTTGCTGCCCTGCTTGCCGCAGCAGTCCAGCCCTGATCCACCACCGTTTGGTCCAAGGTGTTCAGTCCGACCGTTTACATCTGCAGATGAACAGTGAGAAGGACCACTCACTGGAATGACACTGAAAGGATTGTGTGACTCTTTGAGCCTCGATGTCAACATTCTTATGGCCACCCAAAAAAAACATTAGCACGTTTGCTGAGATGTTTGGATACATTCCTTTGAGGTCCCGAGTTCCTGTAGAGCAGTCGCACGGTTCCTTATGATATTTACAAGGTGATAAGTCACCAGCCGGGCCCTCGGTCCAAGGCTTAATCACAGCAACGAAAAGAAGCGGAAGACAGGTCGCCAAAGACATTGGCCGGAATGATAAGCATAACAGCCAAGGACGAGCCACACTGATGACCATGATCTTTGGGCAAAGGTTCACCCTGAAGAAAACAAGAATCTGATCCAAGTTTATCTACATATCTAAGCAAACCTACAGAAGATCCCCATACAGCATTCCATACTCAAACGCAGAACGTAACTACAAATCTTCACCGTCATAAGATCTTCTCGAGGAAGCAGAGAACTGAAATCATATGTTCCCTTAAACTCTGCAGTCTAGATGACACAGTCCTGAATGTTACCTTTTCATATGACGCCTATTATAGACGGTTCATGGGTGGGGCAGGACCAAAAATAGACCTCACGTTCTTGATAGTTTCCCAAAATGAGGGGCCCCCTCATATACCCCAATACATGATAATCTTTATCCACCCAAAATGGTATCCCTAATTTGGGAAATCATCTCATCAGGAGCTGCTTGCCCTGCAGCAGCTTGGAGCCAGCCGTTCTGACGCATCTGCGGCCTGGGCTGCCAGTGGCGGGGACTTGGAGCTCTGGGCCGCAGCACTTAAAAAGTCCATGCCTTTCTAGCCGGAAAGCTTACATCTTTCTTGGATACCCCAGACAGGGAACCCCAAGAAGATAGTAGGAATATAATATAATATCAGGACCCTGGTAGGTATATGTAGGTATATTCCGATTATATTCCTACTATATTCTTGGAATTCCCTGCTTGGGGTTCCCCTTAAAGTCACTTTATTGGACATGCATGGAGAATGCAGTTTGGACGAGGGTTTGGAGGCTTTTGCTGGCTATATGAACTTGACGTGTTCATGTGGGCAGATAGATGTGTTGCAGAACTTCGCGAGACTTCAGCCATTTGTGGGGAAAGCCTTGTACAGACATGTGCTTGTGATAGTCTGTTGCATGAGGGGTGCTCAAAATTGTCGCAATTCCCCTGAGGATTTCCAACATTTGTAGACCTTTGGTTCCGTAATCCTGTGCAGCCACTGTGAAGTCTGCACTTGCGCGCATGATCTGTGTGAGCTTTTCCAGCTTGCGGTTGCCCTAGTGGCTCCCATGGTCAAGGAGCGAGCTGCAGAACTCCTTCTCATGGCTGGCTCTGGAGCGGACCTGGGTGGCTCTGATGGGCTTTCTTGATGCGTGCACTGTTGGAAGAGCCGCAATGTGAGCACTGCCTGAAAGTCAGCCAAAGCACCACATCTGTGGAGAATCAGCTGCATTTAGCCAGAGACCTGTCATCCTTCACGCCATCCTAAGGCCTTACAGACTTGGCGGGTATAGCGCTTCCCCCTCCCCTGACAATCGGGACTGTTGTGACAGCGCGCGTGTTCAGGTCCCAGTCCATCAGATGAACCCATCGCTATCGCACATGTTCCTGCTGCTGAGAGCGCCAAGAGAGGCATTTAGGGTTCCAAGAAAGCACGGGAAGGGCTGGTTCTGGATTCACCGGGAAGTAGTCACACTAATATAGTGTTGTGCTGGAACGCGTGTCCAATGCTTACAAATCTTATTCGGCTTTTGCAGAAAAATATCAGATTTGCCCTCTGGACTGATCCAGGCAACCGCTTCCAGCGTGCAGGCAAGGGCACTGCAGCAATCGAGCTGTGTGATGGCGAAGGCCTCTCAAGGGCCTAGGTTCAACATGGTAGTGTGCAGCTGGTGGACAGAGGATATACTGTTGTGTTGAACAACTATCAGATCCGTGAGATTGTGCCCAGATGTCTAGTTCCTCCTTCTGAAGTAAATATCCCGGAAGCAGAGCCATCGGCGAGGCAGTCTCCCCTCAACGGCAGCGGGATCCACGCCTGCATCAGCGGACACGGAGGTCGAACCTTTGTAGCGCAGTGGTGCATAGAGAAGTTGGTAGGCTGTTCAAGAGCTGTTATTGTATCCTCGCTGAGGACGGTTGCCTGGAAGATGCCTTCATTTAGAGCAGCGGGAAACTTCCAGGAAGATTCACGGAGGTTTTTCGTGGCATAAAGATCCTGCTTGAAAGAGTCAGGGCTTTGGACTTACGATTCGAATTTCTGGTGAGATCCTTCCACACAAGTTTGTGAAAACTTGGGCTTCGATTAGCTTCAGAAACCACAGTCCGAACCAGAATCCAAGGGGTGGGATGTTCGTGGTTGACCCTCATTAATAATTAGCCTGAGCTGTGGTCTACATCACGTCGCAGATCCCCTTCGGAGCAGTTTAAATTTGGGCCTTATAAGATTGACAAAGTGGAGGGTAAAACCCGAATGCCCAAAAAATGCTTGCGCAATCTGGGGGCACGTCATGCCAACGTTTACCTCACCTAACTGTTGCACATGATGGCTGAGAGCGGCCCGTTGCTTAGTGCCAAACCACAGGAGATATTCTCGCACGACCTTTGAGAGGGCTTTTCTTCAAAGCACTGCAATGTTTGCAAATTTCATGTAAATCCGTACGGGGTCCACAATGAGTCCACAAGCCTGACTGTGGAAGGATGAGCTGCTGGCGCGGCGCTTGCAGGAGGAAGAGGAGGCAGGAGCGCAGAGCAGCAAACGTAGAACTGTCGTTCAGCTCCATTCCCCCAAGGGTCCAACGACCCAAATAATAGGGTTTTAGAACCCAAATACTATAGTATTAATGGTATTTGGGCCCTAAAACCCTACTATTTGGGTCCTTGGACCCTTAGGGTTCTTGTTGCCTAATGACATCACGGATAACGACCATAAGGCATAGACATGTCATTTGTCCGCATAGCCCAGTCGGCGCTGCCGAACTCGGCCGAGATGTCTGACTCGGAGCTGGCAGCTTTAGCACTGTTCCCTGGCTGGCAAGGGCTAAAATGGCCCCCTGCATTCTACACTGGGATAATATGCGTTCCTATAACAGTAGGCTTAACGGATGCCAGTGGTCCTAATGATACGGATCAAAGCAATAGCAAAAATGACTTTCCTCGCAGTCAATATCGTCGAAGAAAGAGCGTAGAGGAGTTTCTGTAGAACACAGGTCCTGCAAGCTATCAGGTTTCAATGAAGACTTACGGGCCCCAAGTGACCTAACCTTGAGACACAACACACAAAATGGGTGCAAAACTGGCACTACCTAGACGCCTCAGGCTCCAAACCCATGCATGAGCTGCTTTCGTTCGCTCAGCGTCCTCAAGCACAGAGCTTTACTTCAACCGCTATCTCAGCAGAATTGTGACTCTGATTGGCTGAACTCTGTCCTGTGCCAACGCCACTAGTTGATCTGGCGACTACAGTTGAGCTGCCCCCTCGCCAGCTTCTTTTTGCGGGGAGGTGGGGCTGTCTTGGTGAGATGGATTCGCAGACAGATGAAGCCAGTGTACTAGACGGAGGCAAGCCATTTTCAAGGTGGGACCTCGCAGTCAGGGGATTGAGAGCATCGTGAATTACTGGGGGTCGGGCGCTAACATCACAATTGCAACCACAACTACCGCAGCACCGATGAAAACGGAGCCAGTCAGTGGCCAAGGACAAAAATGGCGATATCAACAGCAATTCAGCCTAGTTGGGCTTGGCCCCTAGGCATTTCGATGAGATGGAGGCCGCCAGCAATGCACTGGACCCATCACTTCTGGCGGCGCCGCTTTCTCACAACTGTCCGGTTCAGTGGTTCGGGTTCAGGGCGTAGGCCTGGGGTTCAGGATTTAGGCTTGATGCTGGCAAAGACCGCAAATTCCGGCAATGACAGAATGCGACCTCTGCGGTAAGCAGCTGGTGGTATGTAGGTTAGGGATGTATGGCTGCCCAGGGTTTGCGGGCCGTTGCTTGGGGTTTGATTCGTCACCGTTCCATTTTATGTTTTGGAGGCCTATAGTGGATTGGAAGGTCACGTAGAAATCTGATTTGCACTGGACTTCTGAGGCAGTTCCAGGAGTATGAAAGCAAGCCCAGGCCCCAGTACGTACACGACAACAGCCTGTGAGTTACGAGAGCAGCACGTAGGCTTCAGATGTCTGGAGGCTTCTGCTTGGACAATGGTGCAAGGGAGCGATTGGGGGCCATGGTGTGTAGTGTGGCACAACAAAGTAGCGGCACAACAAAGTAGCGGCTGTGACACGAAGGAGGAGTGCCGTCGTTGCAGCAGTCACCACACAGAGCCACCAATGCTACGCATTAATTTCGCCGCGTGTTGGCTCATGGTCTAGCATTTGCACGCACCAGGCCAAATACAGATACCGCAGACTCAGAGCCCATGAGCTACAGGTACTGCAAAAGGTTGCCCTCGCAAGGATCCATGAGATTTGAATCGAGCTACCTGCTGTTTGACCAGCTTCAAAATAATCTGTCAGCAGTTGCGCTCACAGCATGACGCCCGGTGCAGACGACGGCGAAGTACTCAATCAGCCACTTGTCTGTAGCTTCGTGCAAGTACGACAAGTCGGTGCGCGAGACTGAGGTCCTCTGAGGAGTTATCGCTG